ATCACTTAGGACCATACACCAGTCCCAGGAAAACACTCCATGAGCTATCTCTGGCAAGTCATGTTTACCCTTGTTTTACTGGATATATTGGTCAATATGCCAAAATTCCGAAAACAAAATGTTTTCTTTGGGGATATAAGGTTAATATGTAGTCTTGAAATATGTAACCACCAAAATTTAAAATTCCATCCACCAAAATTGTATTATACCAATACAAAGTTCTGGGAGGGACAATGGTTTAGGCCAATATGGCCAGTGATAGGAGAAAAATGAAAAAAACATCTCACATTATTGTTGATTTGGAAGTTTATTTCCTAAACTTTATCCTACCTCAACTGTCACTAAGTACAATTTTAAGGTAAAATAATTGAAAATAACTATTTCATTATGACTTCCAACTGACTTACACAGCTCTGTAAGTTAAGAGTGCTATGACACACACCTAAACTATAGGCACACACAATTTGATACAAGCTAGTCATTCTAGCTAGTGACGTTGTAATGTCCCCAGTACCATAATAGCTGCACTCTGTTAGAGAATGCCTGCATGTTACACTATTTCAGCTCAGTGTGAGTGAAAACCCACAGTGATACAGTTTTCTCTAACATTGAGGAAACAGACGATCGGTGGTGCTCCAGATCCAAGCTAGCAGTCAATGGCACAAGGCAACACCCTGAGCCAACTAACTTGTTCAGAATGAATGTGGGAAAGTAACGAACATCTAATTTGATGCCAGAGGCATTAATGTCTTCCCTTGAAAACCTTCCCATGGCCTGTGCCACACAAACCAGTGATTTGCCTAAAAACTAGCAATCAAAGACAACTGGGCAAATAATATTATAAATTAGACAATCAATGTTTACATACATGTATACAAATAAATATATTAAATAATCTAAATGAAAGACTACATAGGTTCTTCAAAGAAAACAAATGCATTTGCTCAGGTCTTACTTGAGTCACAACATATCAGAAAACAATCAAAGATGAGATTGCTTTAACTTTCCTGAATTGCACCTAGGTAATCCCACTATGAGGTGAGCTTCCAATAGTTTACCTATAGAGTGTTTCCACCAGTGATGGGTCTTCTGTGACAAACGTACCACACATGTATCAACAGTCAAACATCATAATCTCAAGGATACATGCCAGGAGAAAGTGTGTGGGAGAAGTGTCTTATTCAGCAACCATCATGGCGGTCAGCTTCAAACAGGAAGAAACTGTAGTGAATGAGTGAGTTTAGTTTTACGCTGCACTCAGCATTATTGCAACAATATGGTGGGAATCTGTAAATAATCAAGTCTGGACCAGACAATCCAGTGATCAACAGCATGAACATCGATCGACGCAATTGGGATACAATGACATGTGTCAACCAAGTCAGCGAGCCTGACCACCCGAACCTGTTAGTCACCTCTTACGATAAGCATGGGTTACTGAAGACCAATTCTAACCTGGATCTTCACGGGTGGAAGAAAATGGAAGTGCTGGAGATAGGGAGCCAACAGTCCTAGGACCAATAGCCAGGAGGTTACTCAGTTGAAAGACCAACAGATCCTGCTTCTATAAAGAGGCACAACTCTTAGATGACATGTCAATTGTTGGCTTACAACAAACATTAAATGAACAATCAGACATAAATGATCTGACCTGTCAGTACTTAGATAGACAAGGAATTCACTTTAACTAACATCAACTTTCTACGGTTATAATGAATTTTCTACTGGATGAGTGGCACAGGTGCAAGTGTGACAGAGACGTGAATCTGAAGAGAAAGGGAAAAGATTTGGAGAGCAATACATCCTTTGTGACAATACCATTGAGATATTTCTCTATTTTCTTTCACATATGTTGTATGCAAGATTAATACAGTATTGGAACGAAAATATGTAGATAACTTAGTTTTTAAAAGAATCCAATCTTTTAAATAAACACAATCTCACAAACATCAGATCTTTCACTGAGATACAATGTCTCTCTGCATGGTGTCACACTGGAGTGAAATATCTGATAAGAATCACATTATACTAAACATGTTATTGGTCACTAAAATATATAAGCTATGTGTTTACTCAAATTTGCAAACTTTGTCACCATGCCGACTCATCAGAAGAGACAAGCTATGTGAAGTAGCATATTATATTGTCATGCCAGTGGAGTAATATTTAAGAAATATTACTTAAAGCCATATCAGCAATTTAGCAGCTATTTGTGACAAAGTGGAGTATGAACATACAGTTATGTTGGTGGGTATCACCACAACTGTATCAAGACTGTCAGGATGCCACAGAAGGCCAACATTCATTAGCATAGTAGACATAACAACAACCCTCAGATACATGTAGTAATATCATTGTTGCCTACGTGCTACATATCTATACAGTAAACCTGCTAAATAAACCATTCCCTTCAAAACAAATGAATAACTCATACTGTCAAATCGGACTATTCTAATCCTTTCTTCACTATCTTTAAATCATAGGTTAAAGCCGACTAGAGTATCATATTGCATTATCCTCAGTAGGGGCCACTGGTTCCTTGCATTTGGACCTGTTCAGGAATCTTAACATGGCATCTCATCGCTGCAAAGACACATTTCTAATTAACCTGTTTTTGTTTCAAACATACTACCCATCAAAAGTTTAGACTCACTTAAAGCACTCACTATATGTTATGTATATATACATGGTAACATCGAAGATGAATTTCTCCACTAACTTGGGGGAACCAACTGCAAACCTTATGCAGATGAATTGCACGACGATCATGCATCAAATTGCTGAAAAGCTTGTACAAATATCGTGCATGTGAACAGCTGCATTTTGGTGTAACATTTTGTTAAGAATTCGCCAATTAGTTTCATCATTTATTTTTTTTAACTCATGACAATAATCTTTTCAACGTTACGAATTGGTTTTACGATACATCAGTTCATGTGTAAACAGTTCCTTTAAAAGTATGGAAATCTAGTTTCGTGTGAGTTGACTGAAGTATGTGTCTACATTACATGTCTACATGTCTACACTAGTGAGTCTCAACTTTTGATGGGTAGTATAATTTAGAAACTACTACATTTGAAAGCCTCACTTGATTCATATATATGATAAGAATAACAGCAAGGACATATCTCTGTTACCATGGAAACCATGAACCAGTCACATCATCATTACCAGTGTTCAAACTGATGCATCTCGTTGAAAGTGTTCCACTCCACTGGAAGTAATTTATGATCAATTCAGATCATATTACCCACTGTTTAAATCTAGCGAATAATTTGAGGTGCTTTCACCTGATGGAATCTGTAACTATAACTATTACTATAGATACTATTTTTCATATTTAAGGAATATGCAACAAGCAATAATGTTTTTTGATGGATTCAAAACAAGACAACTTTTCACAGTAACCATGGTAATCAAATAACATGTGAAAGAAAGGGCAAAGAGCAAAGAATTTTAGCAGAAAATTGAACCAGGATGATAGAGAATAACACTGTTAATATTTTCCACTTCCAACACCGAAAAAGATGATGCTCGATAATGTAACATTATGATCACATAAAACATGAACACTAACATCTCAAAGTAAACCACAGGAAAGTTCTTCCAAAAAGCAAACATTTCTCTCAGAACACAACAAACAGAGGATGCAATAGGTAAACCACAAAATTCATTTTACTTTGAAGTCTTGTTCAAAATGTCATTGAAATACTTCAACATTTCAACTGATGATGCAGACTTATGGATGAGGGTCTTTGCCTCTGTATCAGCCATGTTATAAATAAAATACAAGTCACCTCTACAGAGTCATTTCATTCTTTAAAATATGTTTTAAAACAATACACACAACAAATTCACACAGATTAGAACAAAAGAAGAAGAATTCAAATTTCAACTTCATCAATCAAGCAGCAACAATATTAGGGAAGATATTTCAGAAGCATGCTAAATGTTGACAGGTCTTATTACTGCAAACAGACATGTTGAGTGTCTAGAGGTTACATTATCATGTAATCAGTCGTAAGAGAGAGATCCTCTCTGTAGAGCTGTAGGTCCCCAGACCTTGATTGGACTGCAGAAAGCAACGGCTGTTTTGGCACTGGCTAGCCCAGGAGCGACCTATACACCAGTCAAACTGGCTAAAACACTGGCCTGCTTGTTGACCAGTTTGAACATGTTCCCATATTTTCTGGTTGTGAAAGTTAGCCAAGAACATCCTACCAACAGTGTCTCCAAAACTTACTGGAAACATGTGTTTGAAGTCAAATTTGGTTTCCATGGCACTAATGAGCACAGGCATGCAAAATGATCAGCATACATTATTTTGCAATCTCTCTATGCCTGTGGACTAGAGTCATCAAGAAATAACAAGGGCTCCTGGCTCAAACAAGTACCATGGAACTGGGACACGGCAACACACCAACATGAGTCAAAGTCAAATATGTTGTCATGGAAACAAAAAAATATATATTCTAAAAATGCCTAAATGGCAAAAGGCAGCAGTCAACAACATGGTCTTGTGTGTGCAGTTTCATGAAAGGATACCTACCACCACATTGGTTGTGGAGAAATGGTCTGGTGCAAATTCTTTTCATTGAAATCGAGATAGAAAAAATGCAAAATATCCAGAAACATAATGATCATGGATCGACGGAAGGACGGACTAACAGACCAGGTGTCTGCTATATCAACCATAAAATATTCCCAGGGAATAATAAGTTTGGTGGGATTCAAGATATGTTTTTTAAATTGTGCATGTACACTGACTTCTCCTCATGACAACATGGTCACGACCTGTGACAACAATTATTAAGTTGTAAAGGTTTGATCAAGGTCAACATTTAGAATATTGCTAAAAATGGAACATATAGCTTAGGACCAACTACACATATGCCAGTTTAAATACATTTTGAAAAGAAAACAACAAATATAGGCATCACAGTAACTGTTTTCTAACTGTGCAAAAAGTGACTGCCACTGGGGCAATGTTTCACATTAGATCAAAATCTTTGAACAATTTCTAGAAAGACCATAGCTAAGACCATTCCTGGGAATGTTTGTTTTAAATCCTTAGGCCTTGTAGTTTTACATGAAAAGTAAAAAATCCAACACTAGAAAAACAGGGGCCATAATAGTTTTTACATATTTGAATAATGTAAATGTGGTGAATCATTATAAGATATTATAGCAACATAGCAACACAACTGCCATAATCAACTCCATAGCCCTTGTAGTTTCAGAGATATTGCAAATGGAAATGTTGTGCAATAGACAATGCATCACAACACAAACATTAAAACATTCAAACCCAGCCTGTCAAACCAAACCTCAGACTGTTCACGTTGTATAAATATATATAAGAAACAGTTTCAGACTTTCCAATTTGTGACTTTCAGACTTTCCACACTGACTTTTGTGAAATACATGGTATTCTAAAACATCACAAATATGTCCATGTAAGCTTAATAATGATTGATCTATGTAATGAGGGCCTGAAATAACCACTCAAGCATCAGTAGACATAAGCCCATTTCCATAACATGTATCAACATTACATTTTAAAGCATCAGTTTCAGTCTTGCTTTCAGTAAAATTTTTGGTTACAAATTAACTTCAAAGAAAAAACATCCTCCAAAGTTGTTCTAGATCAGTTCTCCATGACATGTTCATTGTTGCCTCGCCCGCCTTCTGGCACATCCTGAAACTGCTGATACCACTGATGAAGTTCACGCAGCTTCACCGACACAGACTCACGCTGCCGTTCCGCCAACAGTGACCGCAGCTCGTGGTCCATGGGAGCATCACCGGGAGGGTACACAAAGAAGGGTTTGTCTCTTATGATTCGGTTCTGGTTGAAGGCACAAGTTTTGAGATGTTCCCCGATGGGATTATGGCCAGAAAACTGCCACTGTTCCACTGGGCTGAAGGCTGTGCTGAAGCGCCACCTCTGATATGAATAAGAGTGAAAGTTGTTTACCATTAATGAGTCACATCACAGAAGATTGGTATACCAGACAAACCAGTAGTGGATAATATGAACATGATGAGTAACCATTCCTGCCATCAAACAAACATTTCTTAATGAGTCAACTCTTCCTATACTGACCAGAATTCCAAAGGAACAATAACTAAATATTTATCAACACCAACCATTCAAAAATGAAATTGTTTGAAACTGGTTTGAAGAATTCTTGAGTTTTATCATGGCCACTGTCACATGGTTCTTAGGGACACTGAGGCACAGTAAGGGCACAGACACAGACAACTTCCTTGAGTAGCATTAGAAGTTGCTGCGATGAACAACGGGGAGAATTCTATGGATATACCATGTATACAACTTCTTTATTATTAATATGAGCGACGTTTCGGTGTAGCTATAGTCTGTTTGCAGTGAAAGCGTACCGATGAATTTCACTTTACACCAAAAAGTAAAACAAATAAAGTGAAATTAAGACTGCGAATCCTCATGATTTTAACTTGCCATTGTAATACAAACCAGTAATATTTTTTGCTTTAAGTGAAATTCATCAGTATGTTTTCACTGCAAACAGACTATACTTAAACTGTTAGAGATCACTTGCTTGATAATGGTGCTAGTAGCTACACAGAAACGTCGCTCATATTAATAATAAGGAACTCTCCCCTTTGTTCATAGACACAGACCACTGAACCTCACAAACAAGAGGATCTTTACATAAACAGGGAGTATTGTGATGGGGACAGTCAGGGAGAGAGAATACATCACAGTCACAATTTCCAGATTGTATTATTGAGTCTGAGCTGAGAACCGGTCATCTTCCAAGGGCAAGGGAGGCAACTGACTATATAAGTCCAGTTTAAGACCTGAATAAGGCTCACATTTTGGAGGCATGTTTTTGTGTAAGATAAACAAATTCAATCAAAATTGTGTACAGAAACCAACATCTGGGTCCTAAAGTACATGCAACTATCATGAAGATTCTGGTCATTTGCAGGATTTACAAAAATATGTCAACTTTCAACAGGGCATCAACAGAAACATCTTTCTGTGTTTATAATGACCTTGTTTAAGTGGTGTGCTACAATCTACATGCACTGGGTGTAGGCAGGGAATGTGAAATTTTCTTTCATTAACTTCATCTTGACATGGCACCACATTTTGTTTGAAGTAAATGTAAGTGATATGAAAGGTGGAATCTGGTCAATAGGTGTGGAAGGAACATAACCATGATAACTGATAATAACATTGTTACCACGGGTACCATGGGTACCACAACGTTTGAGCCTAGTTTCAATTCCAGTCAAGTTAGGTAATGGTGGAAACTAGACTTTTAACTCTCTTGCCTCAGGAAGAAAGGAACCCCAGAGGTTGACAGGAGGAGGACAAATCAAGTTAAGAGCTAGAACTGTAACATTAGTGGCCGTCTATAAAACCGTGAACAAGTAAATTACATGGTTTCTACATCCCCCCATCCTTGCCATGGTTTTAATTGTAAAACTCTTACATAAAGCATAATACAAAGTATTTCTCTAAATTTTCGGAACTCTTGGATATTCATAAAACGGCTATGTACACACAAAATATTGACATTTTCTGTAAAGCCTAAACTCATCAGAAGAGGACGTAACATGCATGTGAGACGGTTCCCCGTTACGTGTACAAGTGACTACCTGAGAGGGGGTCAGTCATTCGAGGTCACTGAGAGGGGGGACTGCCTGACCACAGGGAAATTCTGCATGTCACACAAAAATGTGTCTATAAGTGTTATTTATGCTCATGTTAAGCTATTATGGACATACAGTCTTGACTTACATTACAATATGACTGCCAAGTGACCTTCTGCTCTGCATCCTTGACCTTCTCCCAGACCTGTATGACTATGCCACGTTCATCCAGCAGACTGCAGCAGATGTCACGAAGCAGTTTACAAGTGAGGGCCAGGTTACACAGGCTGAACGAGTCTAAGTGTCTGGCAATGTGCTGCAGCACCTCGAAGGGAAGCTTCAGAAACTCCATACCTGTAACCATGACAACAAACCTCTGATACATACAGGTATTTCAAGTCAAAATCCATAAATTCATATCTTTAAATACACAATACAAATTATCAAAAAATGAATGAATGAGTGAGTGAATGGTGTTTATTGCTGCAGTCTGTATAGTTACCATGGTTACACTCATATATCAGTAATCAAATCAGGATCAGGCAAACCAGAGGCTGATTGTATGAGTAAAACTATATATATATATATATATAAAATATGAGTCAGATATTTCTTCTTGCCAAATATAAAGGAGATTTGGCAAGAAGAAATATCTGACTCATATTTTATATATCCATTGCTTATACACCTGCAGAAATCACTAGTTTTATATTATATATATATATATATATATATATATCAGCCAGCTCCAGTGAAATGACACATTTAAGTATTTTGTACAGAACGTAGAAATTGGTACATATGCTTATATCTTATACATCATAACATGCTGAACAAATCAAATGTACATTTAATCATTCACATATGGCTCAGATATATAAGTCCTAATCCTACACAAAGTTCCCAATAGATGTTATCAATCAGTCAAGCTGAAGCTATCATTATTCATGGCAGTATGATCAGTAGAGGACGTAACGTGTACGCGAGACGGTCCCCCGTTATGCGTACAAGTGACTACCTGAGAGGGGGTCACTAATTCGCGTGACTGCCTCATCACAGACAGTGAAATTCTGCATGTCACACAAAAACACGTCTAATAGTGTTATTTATGAAAATAATAAAACAAAATTTGCTACAGGCATTGATAGGTGTTCAAGTTATTGATTGACACAAATGAAAACGTAAAAAGAAAATACTGGAAATTTTAATATAAATTGTATATTTATATACTTATCCTATCTCACAACTTGCACCCCTCTCTCTTTTGCTTCGACTTTTAGTGGAACGACTGTAAACTTTTTTCCATAGGCCTCCTTGTCCATTCGCCCGTGCACTCCATGCTGCTCACCTTAATTAGCTTCCTAGTTTCTAATTAAGCTTGCAGCATGCTCCACTAATTGCCCACATGACTACCTTGAATGATCATTCTCATATTGGAGCCAACGTTGTAATCTGAGTTGTGGGGAGGCCTGGCGGGCATCCATCGCGTGAGATAGGATAAGTATATAAATATACAATTTATATTAAAATTTCCAAATATTTAAACTTATCCTATCTCACGACTTGCACTTATCCCACGGTTGGACGGCAGGCTGCAGATTACCCTTCTGTCTGGATAGTGCGAACAGCTGGTCTTGGAGCTGTGTGGACTGACCGTAGACAACCATAGATAGCAACGTACAAGGGAGGCCTGTTACGCATGCACGCAACTCCTATACTTGTAGTGGGTTCTCCGGAACCCCTTGTCTTACTAAGCACAACGACTCCCAGGGAGATGGGTGCTCCCGAGCGATGTGGTGTTCCGCCGCAACCTTGTACAAGACAAGGGACGCAACTCGGAAAGTAGGCCCCGCCTCGCCACGATTTACAAGGTACCCCCGTAATTAATGTCTTGCGACTAGAATCGGGCCAGCATCTGCTTCAAGAAGGCCCCAATTGTAGCAGATTTGCCGAGCCTGTCGAGCCTAGATGATTTATATACCAAACCACTGTCGAGGAAGCTCATTATGGGCTTTGTAATTCGGGTAAAAAGCCACGAGGCCGTGGAAATTCCAAATGGTAGTACTTTCCATTGGTAGTGATTCCCGTTGAACACGAAGCGAAGGTACTTCCGGTGCTCTGGATGTATCGGAACTTGAAGATAAGCATCCTGAAGATCTAGGCTGATGAGGAAGTCTCCCTTCTTCAGGATGGTGCGTAAAAGGTTGATCGACACCATCCTGAAGTGAGGCGGTGGAAGTAGGAATCGGGCATTGAACAACTTCATATTGAAGATGAGCTGGAGTTTGTTGGAATTTTTCTTTGGAACCAAGAAGATGGGGGAGTAGAATCCTGGAGTGACGGGCGTTGGACCTAGGAGCTCTATCGTGAGTTTGTCCGGTTCAGTGAACTGTGGGAAGACAGTTGGCTGGTTGAACGCGGTTGGCCAGGCTCCAAACAAACTGAGACAGTCGAGGGGATATGTACCGATGATCTGGATGATGATAGTGTCGATCTAAGGTCCACTGGTAGTGTAGATGGGACAGGCAACGAAGAATTGTCGATCACAACCACCCGCGAGTGATCTGACTCTATGGAAGGAGGTGATTGATCCGTAGGTAATAGGTGCTGAACGTCCTCAGATAAGTAAGAATCTAATAAAGCGTCCATAAAATCCTCTTGAACCACAGACGTCGCTCTCTTCGTGAAGGTACGATTTTCTGTCGCTGTAAGTTAGTGTAACTTGATACGCTTGGCAAGAGTGGGATCAGATTCTGTTGACTTCCTGTCCCTATCGGCAAACACGAAGGTAGGCCTTAAAAGCCTCATCTTTTAGTGAATTACACTTGCCACATCGTTTGTTCCTGTTACATTGTCCAATACAGTCACTGCAAGACGAGTGAGGATCGAGGGACGAATAATTCGTCTTGCATTGAGCACAAACTTTCCTTTTCCTTGACTGACTATCAGTTTTCCCCATGATGTTAGGGTGAAATAATGTCCCTAATATACAGCACGTCCACACAGTCGTGCGACAAGAAAGAGAATGATCATTCAAGGTAGTCACGTGGGCAATTAGTGGAGCATGCTGCAAGCTTTATTAGGAACTAGGAAGCTAATTAAGGAGAGCAGCATGGAGTGCACGGGCGAATGGACAAGGAAGCCTATGGAAAAAAGTTTACAGTCGTTCCACTAAAAGTCGAAGTAAGAGAGAGAGGGGTGCAAGTCGTGAGATAGGATAAGTTTAAAAATTGAAATAGTCAAATTTTGAATTTTCAAATTAATTAGGGTCAAGCGCTTCAGTTAGTACGGAGGAGTGCACCCGTCTCGCGTACAAGAGACGATAGACCGTCTTGCGTACATGTTATGTCTCTGACTGATGATAATAGATGTTTTAGCTTATAGTGACACATGCGGCTCTACTATGATGACCAGCCAAAATAACATGTAAGTCTATTACAGTGCTATAAAGATCTTCATAATATTGGATTGACTTCTCTGAGCATCATCACTGGTTTCAGTAAGAAGATAATTGGAAAGAACATCTAAAGATCACTCAATCACTTTACTTATGTGATGTAGTAAAGTAGTAGTAGTAAATATCTTAGCAAGTGTATCGCCTTGTACTGAAACAGAAAAATTGCATTGTGCATCCTATCGTTGCATGAAATCTCATGAAGGATTGGTACCTCAGTATTTAGTTTCACCATTATATACACACCTGTATCATTCCAAGCAGGAGCATCTGGTTTAGAGAGGCGGGACTGCACAGATATTGGAGAGTAGGCTCGGTATGAGGTGAATACTTCCATATCCAGGTGATCACCGGCAGGCTTGGGAGCACAGTCCGAGGTAGACTCCGACTCCACACTGTGCTGTGAGGTCGTGGTGGTCTTGTATTGCACACGGGGTAACAAATGATGATCATAATCATATTCATTGACAGGTGTCTGATTATTGTGTTCACAATCTGGGCTGACATTTTGAGTTAGACAGTTTGTGTCCATATCATCGGATTCGGGCTTGTCACATTGAACTTTGGTGGTAATTGAAACATTGCTCTCAACTGTTTCTGCTAAACCATAGCTTTCTAATAATGCACTATGTACAATAGACACACCATGTTTACTAGGCTGAAAGCGCCGAAAGGAAAATGTACACCCAAGATATGCCAGAGGACATCTTTGTTCCATCCATCCATTCAAGCAACTTTGGATATCATTGTGAACATTCTTAAAGTGCCATGCGTACTCATCTCGACGGAATTCCTGAGCACATAAAAACGTGAACATTTCAGGAGGTTTGGGTTGGTACTTTGTGATGCAGTCTATGTTGATGTCCACACCAAGGACATCACAGAGCCGTGTATCATTGTCTAGTTTCCTTGTCAGGTGCTTGTTGTTGTTGTTTGTTGTGGCTGTTTCATCCACATCTTGAGCAGGTGGAAGGCTATCAGTGTCAACAGGTTCTTCAGTATTATCACACCTGGAGACATCTGGCATCGGATTAGACTGTTCACTGGGCACTTGGTTGGTCTTCTTGTTTCCTTGCTCACTAGTCTCATTAATATTCTTCAGAGAATGGCTTGAATTAGCCATATGGTTGGAAGCGAGATCGAGTGTTGTTGAAAGACATTCGGCAGTTTGTTTGGTGGCTCTGATAAGTCGACTACACACGCTACGTTGCAGCCCTGGGGGATAGTTCCCCAGGTTCCATGGCGTATTACCACCTTCGTCATCAGACACATTTCTTGAAGTTTCTTCTGATGTGAGCATGTCAGATTCCATTGAGCTACTTCGATGACTGAAAGGGGCTGCTGGGTATCTAGTGGTGAGGCGATTTCGCAATATTCTCTTTGTCTTTTTGGGAGCATTCAGTGTTTCAACCAACATCCTTTGGTCCCGCATTGCCAATGCAACATCCAGCTGCCCACAATGAACTTTCAGAATATTGGAAGGCAGTGGCATCTTTTTCTTATCTTCCACAGAATACATTGGCCATCGGTTCCATTCAATGGGACAACACAGAACACTAGCAGGACACACTTCAAGATGAATTCCTAGTTTCTTCCGCTGCATAACAAGAGGGCAACCATAGAGGAAGTTGATGCATGCAACTCGTTCGTCTGGACACAGGCTGGAGTGTTCTGACTGTAGACATTGATGAAACCTGGCTCCACAACCAACTTCACAGACAGCCATTGGGCAGCTTGTGGTGTAGTCAGCCTTGACCGCACAATGGCGACTGACACAACCTTCACAGTGGACGTGAGACATGGTTACACACACTATTCACACACTATATCTCCCGTGGTATATGACCCATACTGACCAGTCAGTTATCTTCAGTCACAGCAGTGGACCGTCTGGGTTAAAAAAATAAAACAGAATTTCAGAATTGGTACAGATTATAAAATGTATAGTTCCATCATGTCAGGGTATGATTGTATACAAATAGTGACAGTGCCAACAAGGAGAATATCACAATACTTAACCAAAAGTTTACCATGTGTTGCCTGTCATCAGCCCAAAGTTTGCCAACAGAACTGCTTCTTCTGGCACTTTACCAAAATACAGAAAAGCTAAGTGAGTGAGTGAGCCCAACAAGCTAACTGAACAACATCAACTCACACTGTTGAATTTAGTGCACATGTACCCACTCATACCAAAAGGTTATGGAAACAAACAGATTGGGGTAAAATGGTAATAGATACTTACAAAGATTACACTTAGCCATGGTGCCATATGATTTTAGTTCACTAGGGACACCTACATGTGGTCATATTGTCATTTGGCATACTCATCATGCTCATACCACCAGATCCTGGTCAGAATTGGTTTTTTGCTTGTCATCAGTTCCGGGTATTGATGCTCATGATGTCAATCGTTGAAGTGTCTTGTTGTTCAGAAACAATTACTTACGGATCAATGTCATTTAGGAGGACAATTGCTAAGTGCAACGTTATCGTGGTTGCACAACAAACAGACAAAACCAACCAGATATTGAAGCTTACTAAATGAAATGAGTGCGTGCAAACATAAAAACAGATCCACACATCAGAAGTTTAGTTCTTATGCATAAATGACAGGGTATTTCATAATTTGTTGAGGTTGATTCTATGAACGAAAAGCAAAAGAGGGAACAATGAAGGAATAAAAGCATCACAATAAGGAACTAAGAAGGCTCAGGCTTTGTTACAGGTATCTCAAGGATGAGTCAGCTTTTGAATCATATCTCAGAAAATGTGAAAGTTCCATAACAGTTTCCTCTAGCCAATATATTCAACAACAATCTGCACCCTAGGACTCAGTCAACTTTTTTATGTGAAAAATAAAAATATATGAAGAATTTTAACACAATAAAATGTAGAAGAATACCCTGACATGTGCTGAAAATGTGGGGCACAACACACTAAGACCTGGTCACATTAACCTTCCTTATTGTTACATACCAACTCACTCTTTGCAGAAGGGCATTGTTCCAATAGTGTACCCAGCAACAAAATGTCACAAATTAAGTCACAGATAAACTCTGTGCTGATTAATTCTACAAGCCCTCAAAGAAAGCTAGCTGTACCCAAAGTGAATGATAATGAGTTTGTTAATACTCAGTGACCATTTATTCTTTCATTCTGGAACCTAAATAACTATAATCTATCAAGCTATCCTGTTAATGTCATATGAAATTACATTATCAAAATAATAAGTTTTGCACTAACATTGTGCAGCTCTGTTGTGGATGATCAAAGTAAATACAATACAAACAAAGAGAGGTGCAAAAAGAGTAATCAACAAAGTTCCTTCAGTTACTTCCGTGCAGAAAATGTTACCGCCTGGCCTAGAAGTATGATGATACCAGAAATCGCCATATAAAGTATGACAGTGCAAAGTCATGTTTGGTTATGTACTTTCGCTAAAAATGTGTTTCCTTCAGGTTTTCATTTAGACTTTTCCATTTATTTTCAGGTCAAGTATATTCTGGATCCCGAAGTAAGCAATTCTACATCGAAATGAAAACATCTTGATTACCTTGAGTCATCGTAAAATCTTTCGTTGCATTTTTGTTTGATGTGGAAGAGGACACAGCTGATGAACACGCGATGTCCCACATAAAGATAACAAATGTCTTTTTTAAAACCTAAGTTACACCTAAAACCAAGGAGGCATAGTCTCTTTCAATCATAAGTCTGAGTCTTATTCAACGATTATCTGTACCTAAATTGCTTTCCTCCGTTATCGTTGAGGACATCGATAAATATTTATAAGGACATTACGAAAACAACGCTCAGCAGACAAAAATAAATAATTTGATTACCAGAGCTGTATAACTGCATTAACACTACTAAGACAGCATTAAAGACGCATGCAACGTAGGTGTTTGAAAATTACTCTACATGTACACATTTAAACTTTAGGAATATATTTATCCAATGGAAAATGTTTTATCATTCATTTCCTCATAACCGGAAATAGTCATTTGTCATGAGCAGCTTCCGTGTTTAAACAACAAGGTGCTTTTAAGTGGAAAACATTGACTGATAACTTGGATATTTGCTCGTTTTGAGTAGGTACCACAGACAATTTATCTGTAAACCAATAGGCGTAATTGGATTTATGAAACTCTTTCACAAGTTGAACGTAGATAAACTCGAATGTGGGCTATAGGCGAGTCACAGAACAGCGACAGGAAATGATATTTATTTTAGGAAATGATATTTTCTCCTGTCACTTTTAAATTAACATGAAATAATCAATTTTTTAATGAAATTATTTAGTAATGTTTCCACTGCCCTACTCATATTGTATTGACTAAATTTCAGAGTCTGCATTGTTCCATACGCATTTTGAGACAATGAAATCAAGAAAAGTGCAAACTAATAGAATGTCGCTGTGGTAGGAGACAGTAAATAACAATAATCAATGAAGCAGCAGGAACACAACAACTGGCACAAGCCCAGCCAGCAAAGCCTGCTCGTCATGGAACAATGCTTAGAGTAAAACAACCCTTGGCCTCCCAACCCTTTACGATGATTAGGGTTAGGTTAAACTTTACCTTAGGTCACTGTAATCCAATGATATCCAGGAAGTAAAGAATTCCTCCCCCATCCCAAATAATATGTATCAGTTAATATATCCTAAAATTATTAACAAAACCTAGCACAACAATCAATAGAGAACTCACAAAACTACCTAAAAACCCAAAATTAATTACAATATATAGGATGGAACCACATTGTATGATACGGGCCCCAGGGACGGTGATGTCACAAAACAAATATTGGGGAACGGAAGGAACTCTTTCCTCCAGAAACAATGGTGCGAAAAAGATGCACAATTGTGCATTGTTTCTTGTGCTTGCATGTCATTGTCAGTGCAGTGCTAATGACCCGTTAAATAAACACTTATCAACAGGTGATGGTGCTCATGGTTCTGAGGTAGAGTGTCCACTAATTGCATGGTTATGGCCCGGGAAAGCGAAATCTGAACCAAACCTCCTCAATTTAGGTGTCGCTTTCGTGGGAACGGTCAAGCTACAGTGAACACTGAATTTAGCATTCCCGGGACTCTCAATACACAAGATAAACAAAGAAATGTGAGTCGTCGTCTGATACTGTAGTCATGGTAGAAATAAATAAATAAATAAAAGTTGATAAAAAATTATAACAGTTGACAGAACTTTGACAAATTCACCCAGGAACAATAAGGTTCTTTTAACAATGATCATAATTCATTACATGAATTACTAAAACTATAGTTAAGTAGGGTCATGTATGTGCTGAAACTTGAAACAACTGAAACTTCATCTCAGTTAAGAGGCTCACAGAATGAGCATTGGGGGCGCACGCTAATCTGAAGTACCGTAATCCAATGTTTTCATAGGAATTCGCTTTCGCGGCACTTCTAGCACAACTTTGGTTTTCGCTTTACCGGGAATAGGGAATATTGAAATTTCGCTTTCCCGGCCGACACCAATTGCATCACTATTTATCTTTTATGAGTCAGTAATCTGGCAAAGCGTGTTCAGCGCTAATTAATATGAAAAATTATGTTCATTCATAACCCATTGTTTTTCACAGGGATATCTGTCAAGATGACTTTAATGGAATTCTTCGGGTGTACATTCATTGCCTTTGGTCCCCCATTGGCAATGTTTGTATTCACTATTGCCAGAGATCCCCTCAGAGTGATTGTACTGATAGCAGGGTAAGTGTATTGACAACATTCAACCAGAATAGCCAGGTAAGCGACTTTACAGTCAAGTAGGGTGCAAGGTAAATGTTGACAATATATTAAACCAGGATAGCAGGGTAAATGGCCAGACAACATTCAACCAGGATAGCAGTTTGAATGATTTGACAACATTCAAATGGATAACAGGGTAAATGATTTTAACAGCATTCTACCAGGATAGTAGTTTGAATGATTTATCAACATTCAACCAGGATAACAGGGAGGGGTAGATGATTTTAACAACATTCCACCAGAATAGCAGGGTAAATGATTTTAACAACATTCAACCTATCAACCAGGATAGCAGTGTAAATGATTTAACAACATTCAATCAGGATAGCAAGGTTAGTTACCTGATAATATCTTGTATAATTTTTGTCTACCAGATTATTGGCATTGTGACATATTTCTTTCAGAGCATTCTTCTGGTTACTAGCACTGCTGATATCCTCCATACTGTGGTATGCTGTAGTTCCTCTCCAGAATGATCTGGCCTTTGGACTGGTTTTCTCAGTCATTTTCCAAGAGCTGTTCAGGTTCCTCTTCTACAAACTTTTAAGGTAAATATTGCTTTTGGAAGATTTCCTATAGTAATCAAACCAGTACAGATACAGCCTTGTGTCCTGAGCCAGGGTTTGTGCTGATATTGGGTAGAAGAAATATTTGGAAAGTTAGCAAGTTGTCTGGTCTAATTTGATTTCAACAATAGCATGTTTTAGATTTATTAAAACACCAAAGTGAACTGTGGTTGTGAATTCATTTACAAGAAGATGCTAACGATACAAAACCCTACCCGATTCCTCTAAAGTATCCTTGACTCACTTGGGTATACAGGTTATCATATGGTAAGATGTTATCAATGTTAAGATGTTATCATATGGTAAGATGTTATCAATGTTAAGATGTTATCATATGGTAAGATGTTATCAATGTTAAGATCCATGAAGTCTGGTGCCCCCTCTATGAGTGAGTGAGGTTAGTTTTACGCTGCACTCAGCAATATTCCAGCTATATGGCGCCAGTCTGTAAATAATCAAGTCTGGACCAGACAATCTAGTGATCAACAGCATGGGCAGCGATCTACGCAATTGGGATATCATTACACATGTTAACCAAGTCAGCAAGCCTGACCACTCGACCCCATTAATTGCCTCTTACGACAAGCATGGGTTACTGAAGATCAATTCTAACCCGGATCTTCACAGGTGCCCCCTCTATGATCTCACTCACCTGGTGTGATGAAAGCAGAGGCAGGATATAGAACCTTTGTCTTACCTTGATATTTTCTGTGAATGTTATGTATTTATTTGATCTTATTTAACCACTTGTTACTTACATTCTGTGTTTCCAGGAGAGCTGATGAAGGCCTACAGAAAGTTAGTCAGACAGCTCAAACTGAAAACGTCACTCCAAAAGACATATCCAATAAACACATTATGGCCTATGGTAAGACTCATGATCTCTGAGGATCATTGAAGTGATGTGGATGTGACTGGGGAGACTCAGTATCAAGAATACTGGTGTATATTGAGTACTGATACTATAAGTTGGTCCCTCGGGGCCTTCTATGTTTGTTCTATGTTTGTTTATGTTCTCTGACCCCTTCAGGCTCAGGGAACATAAACAAACATAGAGGGTACATCAGCCCATGGGCCCCAAGGGATCAGTGAACAACATATTTATCTTACCACACACCTCAATGTTAATTTTGAACTGTTTGAAGCACGGCTATCGGATCATAATAAGGAGTTGCTGAGTTAGGCAATACTAGAATCTAGCAGACATAAAGAAAAACAAATTTAGAGTTATCTGCCTTCCATCGATTTGCATTTGCAACACATTGGTAATTTCCGTACATCATGTGACTCAATTATTTGAGATAAAGAATTACTAACACGAAGTACCAAACGAATTCCCACAGTTCAGCATTCCCAGCGGGTAACAACAGAAAATGTTGTAAGTGAGGTACATTGAAAAGAATAGAAGAGCACTCAGCCCATCAGAAAACGACATTTATGTGTGAGGTAAGATAAATATAGATGGCACAATAGTCAGCAGTACTAAACACACTATGTACGTATCTGTAACTATCTTTGTGTGGAACACTTGGTATATCCCACTGGATAACGGCATACTAGACCTACATCGCTACATGTTTCACGTTGTCAACATTTTAAGGAGACATGAACATGAAACAATTCTGTATTAATGGATGTTTATAATAATTTTGGAGTATATGCTTTCTATGCAAATCATCATATGCAGTACAATAATTGAAATATATTATTCATGTTCTAAAGAGCCATAAGAACACACTTATCCAATGTTTTCTCTGCCCGGTATGTTCACAGATCCACCTGTTTCTATATGTTTAGCAATGAGTCACTCACTCCAAGGCAGTCCTGAAGGTATTGCCAGGAATAATATTCATATATGCTTCAATGAAATGATGTCTTAATTACACAGAGAATAAGTACCGGTACATGTTTTTGAGGCACTATGCACTATCCCAGTCCTGTTCATGCACAGATTCTGTGCATGATATCTAATGATACTGGTATGCTGTTGAACCTTTCCAACCCAAGTTACCCTTCCATTACTGAAAGGAAAGGATCATTATGACATTTCCCTGGGTGACAAGTAGAGCGCATAAATACAAGTTTTATCCAAAACAGTCAGGCCACGTTAGTCCGGAACATCCTCTGGTATGTTGGTACACTGTTACACCATATCCTCCATCCTCTGGTATGTTGGTACACTGTTACACCATATCCCCCATCCTGTGGTATGTTGGTACACTGTTACACCATATCCCCCATCCTCTGGTATGTTGGTACACTGTTACACCATATCCCCCATCCTCTGGTATGTTGGTACACTGTTACACCATATCCCCCATCCTCTGGTATGTTGGTACACTGTTACACCATATCCCCATCCTGGTATGGTATGTTGGTACACTGTTACACCATATCCCCCATCCTCTGGTATGTTGGGTTACACCATACTGTTCCACCATATCATCACCATCCCCCATCCTGTGGTATGTTGGTACACTGTTACACCATATCCCCATCCTGTGGTATGTTGGTACACTGTTACACCATATCCCCCATCCTGTGGTATGTTGGTACACTGTTACACCATATCCCCATCCTGTGGTATGTTGGTACACTGTTACACCATATCCCCCATCTTGTGGTATGTTGGTACACTGTTACACCATCCTGTGGTATGTTGGTACACTGTTACACCATACTGTTACACCATATCCCCCATCCTGTGGTATGTTGGTACACTGTTACACCATATCCCCCATCCTGGTGTGTTGTTGTTGGTACACTGTTACACCATATCCCCCATCCTGTGGTATGTTGGTACACTGTTACACCATATCCCCCATCCTGTGGTATGTTGGTACACTGTTACACCATATCCCCCATCCTGTGGTATGTTGGTACACTGTTACACCATATCCCCCATCCTGTGGTATGTTGGTACACTGTTACACCATATCCCCCATCCTGTGGTATGTTGGTACACTGTTACACCATATCCCCCATCCTGTGGTATGTTGGTACTGTTACACCATATCCCCATCCTGTGGTATGTTGGTACACTGTTACACCATATCCCCCATCCTGTGGTATGTTGGTACACTGTTACACCATATCCCCCATCCTGTGGTATGTTGGTACACTGTTACACCATATCCCCCATCCTGTGGTATGTTGGTACACTGTTACACCATATCCCCATCCTGTGGTATGTTGGTACACTGTTACACCATATCCTCCATCCTGTGGTATGTTGGTACACTGTTACACCATATCCCCCATCCTGTGGTATGTTGGTCCCCCACTGTTACACCATATCCCCCATCCTGTGGTATGTTGGTACACTGTTACACCATATCCCCCATCCTGTGGTATGTTGGTACACTGTTACACCATATCCCCCATCCTGTGGTATGTTGGTACACTGTTACACCATATCCCCCATCCTGTGGTATGTTGGTACACTGTTACACCATATCCCCCATCCTGTGGTATGTTGGTACACTGTTACACCATATCCCCATCCTGTGGTATGTTGGTACACTGTTACACCATATCCCCATCCTGTGGTATGTTGGTACACTGTTACACCATATCCCCCATCCTGTGGTATGTTGGTACACTGTTACACCATATCCCCCATCCTGTGGTATGTTGGTACACTGTTACACCATATCACCCCATCCTGTGGTATGTTGGTACACTGTTGGTATCCCCCATCCTGTGGTATGTTGGTACACTGTTACATCCCCCCATCCTGTGGTATGTTGGTACACTGTTACACCATATCCCCCATCCTGTGGTATGTTGGTACACTGTTACACCATATCCCCCATCCTGTGGTATGTTGGTACACTGTTACACCATATCCCCCATCCTGTGGTATGTTGGTACACTGTTACACATAATAGATTCCTAACTGTTGTTGCTATGTTGATTTCAGTGTCAGGTTTAGGGTTTGGCATCATGTGTGGGGCGTTCTCCCTGATCAACGTGTTAGCAGACATGGTGGGTCCAGGCACAATTGGTATCCATGGAGATTCTCACCTCTTCTTCCTCACATCAGGTAAATATTTACTAACCTTTTACCCTGTGTGATTTCCATTTGACGTAGGTCTCAAATAATTAATGTATTCTTGTGTTCTTTCTAATTCCTACATAGACTAATTGGTTACTAGTTATTGGATTCACTTCTCAGTGTGTGGAAAATGTTAAGCCACTTATACCAAATGGGACTACATTCACCATGTGACTGTCAGGGAATTTCAGTCAAGTGAATTCTTTGTCTGCTCACCTTCTTGATCATGAGCGGACTGTAGTGAAAGTTGTGCAGGATCTCTTGCCTTTGAGTGAGTGAATGAGTGAGTTACAATTTTAAGTAACATCGGCAGTAACTAATGTTTGAGTGAGTGAATAAGTGAGTTACGATTTTAAGTCACATCGGCAGTAACTAATGTTTGAGTGAGTGAATAAGTGAGTTACGATTTTAAGTCACATCGGCAGTAACTAATGTTTGAGTGAGTGAATGAGTGAGTTACGATTTTAAGTCACATCCGCAGTAACTAATGTTTCAATATAGTCGTTACTGACCATGTCATTTGAAAGCTATTTCTTTCCAATTCATTACAATCTGGTTCACACACAAACTACTTTCACTCATTCCCATACACAAGAACTTTCACTCATTCCCATACACAAGAACTTTCACTCATTCACATACACAAAGAACTTTCACTCATTCACATACACATGCAGAACTTTCACTCATTCACATATACACAAACAACTTTCACTCATTCACATACACACAAAGAACTTTCACCCATTCACATACACAAGCAGAACTTTCACTCATTCACATACACATGTAGAACTTTCACTCATTCACATATACAAAGAACTTTCACCCATTCACATACACATGTAGAACTTTCATTCATTCACATACACATGTAGAACTTTCACTCATTCACATACACATGTAGAACTTTTCACTCATTTCATATACACATGTAGAACTTCTCACTCATTCACTTTCCATACACACATTGCAGAAGAACTTTCACTCATTCACATTCCACTTTCACTCCATTCATTCACATGCAGAACTTTCACTCATTCACATACACATGCAGAACTTTCACCCATTCACATACACAAAGAACTTTTTCATTCCATTCACATTCCATTCACTCCATTCCATTTCTTCTCATTCATTCACATTCCATGTCCATTCCAGAACTTTCTTCCTCATTCACATACACACAAAGAACTTTCACTCATCCATTATTCCACACCAGAACTTTCACTCATTCACATACACATTCCAGAACTTTTCCATCCATCCATTTCACATTCCTTTCTCCATTCTCATTCACACACACAAAGAACTTCCATTCACATTCACATGCAGAACTTTCACTCATTCACATACACATCCAGAACTTTCATTCCTCATTCACATACACATGCAGAACTTTTCACTCATTCACATTACACAAACAACTTTCACTCATTCACATACACACAAAGAACTTTCACTCATTCACATACACATGCAGAACTTTCATTACACTGCAGAACATTCTCATTCACATACACATGCAGAACTTTCACTCATTCACATACACACAAAGAACTTTCTCATTACTCATTCACATATACATGCAGAACTTTTCACTCATTCACATACACATTAGAACATATTCACACACACATGCAGAACTTTCACTCATTCACACTTACACATGCAGAACTTTCACTCATTCACATACACACAAAGAACTTTCACTCATTCACATATACACATGAAGAACTTTCACTCATTTTACACAAAGAACTTTCACTCATTCATTCACATACACACATGTAGAACTTTCATTCACATACACACAAAGAACTTTCATTCACATACACACATGCAGAACTTTCACTCATTCACATACACATGCAGAACTTTCACTCATTCACACTTTCACTCATACACACACAGAGAACTTTTACCTCATTCACATACACACAAAGAACTTTCACTCATTCACATACACATGTAGAACTTTCACTCATTCACATATACAAAGAACTTTCACTCATTCACATACACATGCATAGAACTTTCACTCATTCACTTACACATGCAGAACTTTCACTCATTCACATACACATTAGAACTTTCACTCATTCACATACACATGCAGAACTTTCCATTCACTCATTCATACACATGTAGAACTTTCACTCATTCACATACACATGCAGAACTTTCACTCATTCACATACACATGCAGAACTTTCACTCATTCACATACACAAAGAACTTTCACTCATTCACATACACATTCACTCACTCATTCACATACACATGTAGAACTTTCACTCATTCACATACACATGTAGAACTTTCTACTCATTCACATACACATAAAGAACTTTCACTATCTCATTCACACACATGTAGAACTTTCACTCAGAACTTTCACACATCAGAATTCACACTTACATTCACATACACATGCAGAACTTTCACTCATTCACATATACACACAAAGAACTTTTCACTCATTCACATCACATACATACAATGTAGAACTTTCACTCATTCACATACACATGCAGAACTTTCACTCATTCACATACACATGAAGAACTTTCACTCATTCACATACACATGTAGAACTTTCACTCATTCACATACACATACAGAACTTTCACTCATTCACATACACAAAGAACTTTCACTCATTCACATACACATGCAGAACTTTCACTCATTCACATACACACAAGAACTTTCACTCATTCACATACACATGCAGAACTTTCACTCATTCAGAACTTTCACTCATTCACATACACATGCAGAACTTTCACTCATTCACATACACACAAAGAACTTTCACTCATTCACATACACACAAAGAACTTTCACTCTCATTCAAAGAACATCACATACACAAAGAACTTTCACTCATTCACATACACAAAGAACTTTCACTCATTCACATACACACAAAGAACTTTCACTCATTCACATACACATGCAGAACTTTCACTCATTCACATACACACACATCATTCACATACACAAAGAACTTTCACTCATTCACATACACACAAAGAACTTTCACTCATTCACATACACACAAAGAACTTTCACTCATTCACATACACACACAAGAACTTTCACTCATTCACATACACACAAAGAACTTTCACTCATTCACATACACATGTAGAACTTTCACTCATTCACATATACAAATCTGCCTTTTTTCATGTAGGAAATGGTCATTATACTTGTAGTACAGAGGGTCAGTGGCCTCTTACTGAAGTAAATTATCTGTCTGTCTATCTGGCCACCCTTTGTCACAGTGTTGCCAAAGAACGGTTTCGCATACTGATTTGATGATGTTCTTGTATTTCAGTCTCTACTGAACGAGAGGACAAAGCACCGCCCAGAACCTCTCTACCTCGCCAGCACCGTGCCAGCTTACTTCATTATGATCCTGATGGCCGTTGTGGCCTTCTTCATGGCTGGAGGATCCCTCAAGAATGTACAGAATGCCTTCAAGTGCAGGAAAGGGCGATATGAAATGGAGTGAAGGGTAAACAGAGTCCACAAAGCATTGTAACGTCATCATGTGAGGTGAACTGTCTGAAACTAGCCTCTCCACCATCACTAGACACCATTACCCTTTTTGACAAGTTTATTGTACACTAAGAACATTTGTGTATCTGTGGAAACACATAGGCTATGTTTACTTACAGAGGATGTGTCTGTGATGATGCCCAGGAATATCGGTAGACTTGAACATATATTATTTCTTTTAATTTCAGGTTTGAAATTATGATTTTAGATGGTGTTATGAAAAATCTTTGTGACATTCTTATATTGTCATCACTAATAACTCGTGCTTTGAAAAATCCAGAAACCACCTGAAGACCTCGATATTGTGTGGAGTGTGCACAGTTTGTCCACTTCGCTAAATCTTCTAATCCTGTGCAGAGTGGCATTCATTAGCCAAACCTGAATCTTCTTGTCATGGGTTAGAATTTTAAGGTCATCCTGTTTGTGATCCTTGGTTTGCGTAGATTGATGCTCATGCCATTGGTCACTGGATTGTCTGATCCACACTTGATTATTTACAGAGCTGGAATATTGCAGAGTGTGGCGTGAAACTAAACTCACTCACTCACTGAGACCTTAATCAGCCTGGTTCCATTGTTCGTGGCTTTCAGAGAAATAATCAATTCCGCAATTTGACCTTGTTCCCAGCTTTAATTCTCCCCCCTTATGACTTATGATTGGAAATACTGTTTACTGCGGTGTTAAACCAATACAACCAAGAATAGTTTGCTGTGCATTAAATTATTACCTCCATTGCATTCAAACCAGTTACAACTCTGTGTCAGGAAGGTCTGACATCATTACTCATTCAGTCTAAAGCTGTAGAGAACTCTTCGTCATCTGAGATTTCCACAGCTGGATTTGACAAGGTGTTACTGTATTTTTGTTCCACAAAAAAAGAGATATATTTGTCTAATCTTATGTTCACATCTTTACTCTTATTGTATATATTCCATTTTAATTATGTTTTACACAACTGTTGTACAGAATTGTATATTGTATGTTGGTGATTGTTTGTACAGTGCCTGGTAATATGTTCCTACATTTACATAGACATGCTAGATGTCACTTCAAGCCACTGCCAGAACTGACAGCAGGATAATCTATCGTTGCCTGTATTGTCAGCCTCCTAATGGTATGTAGCAGTAGGTTGTAAGTGACTTGACAATATTTGCTCATTCATTGTCATGTCTTATCCCCTTTTTGCTAGACATTTTAAAAATTTCAACCTGTATCAGACCCTCTGTCAAGTTCTGTTCACTTGGTTTCTGCCATCATTATCCCTATGAGATGAGTCTGTTTGACTTGGACAATCTGCTTATGAAGCCAAATGCTATGAGCAGTTTATCGTCAACAATAGAAATCAAATCTTTCCTCATCTGGGATGACCAGCTCTTGCTCTGTAGATGTTGGATTTCTTTCTTCCATGGACAGGGGAGATCAGTGCTGAACAGTGTGGGGTCACACACCAGGATGACCACTGTTCTTGACAAGGTCAAGCCTGTAGTAACGTCTTGCTTGATGTTAATTTGGGGACATGATGGCTTCTGAGTAGGAACAGTGCATGTGCTTGATTGGGTAGACATTTTGAAAACTCTCATATCTGATCTTTATGCTTTATACATTAGGGATGGATATGCTCTCAACCAACACTCAGATCATGTGATCAGATTTAGGTGAAGGTGTATCTGTTAAACAGTGCAAATCATTTTGTGTAGCATTTTGCATTGACATGACACTTTTGTCATCTATTTCATGATTGTATCTTCTTGAAAGGTTTGGAAGAATGCCTTGTGTGATCCACTGTATTCTTACCGATGTACCAGATTACATACTTCCTTAGTTATGTTCTTTCCTGCATTGCATGCAAGGTTCTCTCCCTTACTTAGTTACAGGATCTCCTAGTAATCCCACAGTTACCCCAACTGTCAGCCGAGTGTTTGTCAGCATGGAACACAGTGTGTATTTTTTTTTTAGCCGAGTGGTACCATCACCGATCGGCATCACTTTGAGTGTTTTCCCACAGTTAATCATTCACAGCAGCAGGATGACTGACATACTGTCTAAATCTGCTGTGAAATTCTACAACCCTGACCGACTTGTGTGTGATGAGAAGATGTTATTTCATGGACATTTTCACTGTGTTAATGTTAATCATAGAAAGACGTTGTCAAGGTGACATGAAGTTTCATCAATGAGAATGGGATCAATATTTCCTGAAGTTTTACCATGTCTGTCACAGATATGTTGGCCATAAGCTAAATCTAGTCAGTCTTAATATTTGGGTTTATTTCATAATTGGGGAGACATATCAGAATGACACATATTGTGTGTAGGGAACTTCTTGAAATGGTGGGGAGAACAGTTACACAACAACGATACTCAAGTTTTCATTCAGTGTTTTGAAAATACAGTTATGACCATGATGAATATAAGCAGAAAGAACAAGTCTAGAAATTGTTATTAAACATTTTTATTTTTTGTGAATACTTATGTTGATGAAGTGCTAAAGAAGGTAGGCATCCAAGATATCTGCATGGTATGCCTTGTTAATTTGACAAACATAAACATTGAGTGCAAGTAACTTGACCACTGTCATACAGTAACAGCTAAGAGTATCAAAACATGTTTTTAAAGAAATAGTTTTGCTTGATAAACGTCTGGTGTATACTTGCCAATGCTTATTCAGTCATGACCATTTTCTAATAATTATGTTTGTAATGTGATAAATATTTTGTTTTATGTAGTGAGAACATGTTGACTGGATAGTGTGATACATTCCATAAGAATGCTGTATTGTATTTTGTTAATAACATGAATTTCTGACAAAAATAAAGTGCTGTACAACTTACTATATATTGTTATAATGTTGTCATTACCAAAGTCGTAACAGTAAGAGATAGGTTTGTCAATTATTTTGCCCTTAGAGCTGGATTTCCTACACAAAATGTTACTGACATTGCTGAATCACGTCGGCACCGAGCCCGCCGCACCTGGTTTAGTAGTGTACAAAAACAGATATACAACCACTGTGTGATGATTCTGTACAATAAATATAATATGGCTTAACCATAAGCAGACTGCTGCGATGACTCTTTAATACTTCAACTGCTTGTATCTTATCTACTATTACACAGTTCATTTCCTGCGTACCAGCTCGTATATAGCCCTTCCAAATGATGCTAAGACATTTATTTCAAGGTACTCTAAGGCATTCCTATACTAAATGTGGATGAAACGTCATTAAAATCACACCAATGAAGCAACTATCTATAAAGAGGGTTTTAATTTGAACAATTTTCAAAAACACGAATTTTACACGTAGCAAATTAGCCCATCATATTAGTTAACGAGAATGGACAGATCAGCAGCTATAGACAGCTGAATAGGTGCTGGATCTCCTTGCAGTATGTGTATGTTAGTTTAGCCGATGAAGATGGAACAAAAATGTCAACATACAAAGACGACATAACGGGACTATCGTGACTTCCTGGACAGTGCTGCGTGTGTATTTACAAAACAAAACTCGCTGATAATAGCGTATCCTCGCCTCAAAGCGCTTTCGAATGTTTATGAGAATTAGAAATAGTCTAAAAGCAACAAATCATATGTAATTAAACACGATCCGGTTCAGCGCGACCATGGCGGCAGCCAGTATGACGTCAAGACGTATACGATCTTGTTTGTTTTTTTCCACGTAGTCTATCCCTCCAGCTGCAAGACAAGTATATACAGCTTGTTAGTAATGAGCAGGATAACACACTTGTGTGTAAGGGGGCACATCTCAACCGTCCATTTTGGGCAATCATATTAATTTGTTATGAATCTGGGACGCCCTAGCCTATCTCAATACCTTGTAAACCATCACCAGTACCTCCTAGGTAACCATAGTTGCCATTTATATAAGAAGTGTTGAACCACACAGATAACTATTGTTACCACTAATATAGAACGTGTTGAACCTCATAGGTAACCATGGTTACCACTAATATAGAAAGCGTTGAACCTCACAGGTAACCATAGTTACCACTTACTTGGAAAGTGTTGAACCTCACAGGTAACCATAGTTACCACATACTTTGGAAAGTGTTGAACCTCACAGGGATAGTTATCACAAGGAATATGTTTCAAGTAGATAACGTAATAGGAGCAGATGATTTACGCCCCAGGATCCAGGGCCTAGATTTTCGAAGCTCTCTTAGCGTTAAGATGGTCGTAAGTGCCATACATTCACATTAACTTACGACTGTCTTAGCGCTAAGAGAGCTTCTAAAATCTAGGCTTTCTCAAAGCGATCGTAGCGCTACGACTGTCGTAACTCCCATACTTTAACATAGACTTACGAATGTCGTAGCGCTACGATCGCTTTGAGGAACGGGGCCCCGATCCACAAAGCGTTCGTAATGTTACGACCTGTCGTAACCCTATTGTTTATCACAGGCTTACGAATGTAGCGCTACGAACGTTTTGTGGATCGAGACCCAGTCCCTTATGTAAAGCGATTCATTAGCTGCCTGTAAGTATCGGACTCAAAGTGGTTGTAAGAACAACGATCTTCGTTGTACGTTGATAAACTATCAGCCAAATCTACTTTGTAAACGCCTGATCCGCTTGTGATTCTATTAGACAAGACAAGCATGAACGCTCTGACCCAAGGTGTACACGTGTATGAATGTGACTGAGATCCTTACCTGGACACACCTGGCACAGATTGGGACACGTGGTTGCATAAGCAGGGCAGTCAGACGCCCCAGCACCGTCACATGCAGCAGGATCCTTGTCCTCACATTTAACTGTAAACAAACAATTATTATCATTATGTTTTACATGAATGCAGCAGAAGGGGATTGGGTGGTCCTGGCACAGTCAGGCTCGTTAGCCTCTTTATTCGATCAGGCATTCTTGCCTACTCTACACACAGCCTAGACAGCCCTGCCTGGAAGTGCTGCCTAGTCGATCCCAACAAGAACATTCGAAGAACGTATAGATCTCCCAACACTGCCCCCTTCTGAAATGCCCAGAGTGCCAAACTGGCTGTGCTACCGGTGGAGAACCCAATTATTCTCCTTTCCTGAATCTTGCCAATCACATTGGCTGTCACAAGTGACAGAAAAATTTAATAACATAAATAATTTCATTAGTTCTATAAAACAGAACAAGATCAGGTTTGCCTCTTCGGCTGTATGTGGGCGTTTTAAAAATAATAATGTATTATTTCTCATGCCGCCCTAGACATGTTCAATGTCGTTATTATATATTTACCGTACTTATCCAAATGCTAGTTTCTGCTCAAATACGCATTATTTGTTTCCCGACTAGTGGATCCGTATGCTTTCCAATTATCGCTCTGAACGCCCTGGGGAGTACACAGTTTATTGGTTAATTGATTTGTAAATTACGCATACCTATCACATTCTATTCAGCGAAACTACTATGGCTAACGAACGGTTATACAAGGGACGGGAGGTACATTTTATGTAGTGAATAAGTGACGCCGGTTTGGACGTTTCATCATAGTGTATGCCGGTTTGGACGTTTCATCACAGTTTACGCCGGTTTCGACGTTTCATCATAGTGTATTTCGGTTTGGTCGTTTCATCATAGTGTGCGCCGGTTTGGTCGTTTCATCACAGTTTACCCCGGTTTGGACGCTTCATCATAATGTATTCCGGTTTCGATGTTTCATCATTGTGTGCGCCGGTTTCGACGTTTCATCACAGTTTACGCCGGTTTGGACGTTTCATCATAATGTACGCCGGTTTCGACGTTCCATCATAGTCTATGCCGGTTTGGTCGTTTCATCACAGTTTACGCCGGTTTGGTCGTTTCATCATAGTGTGCGCCGGTTTGGTCTTTTCATCATAGTCTATGCCGGTTTGGACGTTTCATCACAGTTTACGCCGGTTTGGACGTTTCATCATAGTCTATGCCGGTTTGGTCGTTTCATCACAGTTTACGCCGGTTTGGACGTTTCATCACAGTGTGCGCCGGTTTGGATGTTTCATCATAGTCTATGCTGGTTTGGACGTTTCATCACAGTTTACGCCGGTTTGGTCGTTTCATCATAGTATATGCCGGTTTGGACGTTTCATCATAGTGTATGCCGGTTTGGACGTTTCATCATAGTGTATGCCGGTTTGGACGTTTCATCACAGTTTAAGCCGTTTGGTCGTTTCATCATAGTGTGTGCCGGTTTGGTCATTTCATCATACTGTGCGCCGGTTTGGACGTTTCAACATAGTGTGCGCCGGTTTGGTCGTTTCATCATAGTGTGCGCCGGTTTGGACGTTTCATCATAGTGTGCGCCGGTTTGGTCGTTTCATCATAGTGTGCGCCGGTTTGGACGTTTCAACATAGTGTGCGCCGGTTTGGACGTTTCATCATAGTGTGCGCCGGTTTGGACGTTTTTCAACGCCGGTTTGGACGTGTGCGCCGGTTTGGTCGTTTCATCATAGTGTGCGCCGGTTTGGTCGTTTCAACATAGTGTGCGCCGGTTTGGACGTTTCATCATAGTGTGCGCCGGTTTGGTCGTTTCATCATAGTGTGCGCCGGTTTGGTCCTTTCATCATAGTGTGCGCCGGTTTGGACGTTTCATCATAGTTTATGCCGGTTTGGTCATTTCATCACAGTTTACCCCGGTTTTGACGTTTCATCATAGTGTGCGCCGGTTTGGTCGTTTCATCATAGTCTATGCCGGTTTGGTCGTTTCATCATAGTGTACGCCGGTTTGGACGTTTCATCATAGTGTACGATGGTTTGGAGGTTTCATCATAGTGTGCGCCGGTTTGGACGTTTCAAGATAGTGTGCGCCGGTTTGGTCGTTTCATCATTGTGTGCGCCGGTTTGGACGTTTCAAGATAGTGTGCGCCGGTTTGGTCGTTTCAACATAGTGTGCGCCGGTTTGGACGTTTCAACATAGTGTGCGCCGGTTTGGTCATTTCATCATAGTGTGCGCCGGTTTGGACGTTTCAACATAGTGTGCGCCGGTTTGGTCGTTTCATCATAGTGTGCGCCGGTTTGGTCATTTCATCATAGTGTGCGCCGGTTTGGACGTTTCAACATAGTGCGCGCCGGTTTGGTCATTTCATCATAGTGTGCGCCGGTTTGGACGTTTCATCATAGTGTGCGCCGGTGTGGTCGTTTCATCATAGTCTATGCCGGTTCTGACGTTTCATCATAGTATGCGCCGGTTTGGACGTTTCATCATAGTGTGCGCCGGTTTGAGCCGGTTTGGACGGTGGGGTGGTTCGTACCCCCTGAATCCGCTCTCTGGATCCGCCAATGCCACCGGATCGTGACAAGACCTAGACAAGCCACTCCTTGCTCCTGTTCCTCCGCTTGATTTGATTGCACTGGAATTGTATATCAGACATACGGTGCTTGTGTAATTGCCGTTTGACTGCTGCATTGGATGCAATTTTTGGGAAATAAATTTGATAATATTGGCTTTTTATATTGCGCTGTCTCCAGGCCACGAAGGTATGCTCATACCGCTAACACATTATTACCCAAGACAACCCAAACTGCCTGTTGGGCGCTAGAAGGTTATAGTCACATGAATTTTCCCACCGAGTACCCATCTTCTGTTGGGTGAACAGAGGCAATTTTGAACAAACTCACATGCCTTTGGTGAGACCACATGTATTACATGTGCTTCGTTGTGGGGCAGGACTGAAGCCCTAGAAACTCTCAGGAGTTAAGCTGCCAAATACGGTCACCCATCCAAGACTCCCTGATTTGTGACCTGAGCTCTATGCACAGGGCCATACACCACCACACCGATTTATCAATGTAATCCTAAACGAACCTTTGCAAAGTAAGAATATGTTTGATTATTGACCAATATGTATTTCATTTCTATTCCATCACTTCAATCAGTTTGCTTTCTTTGTTATTCACCATTGTTACGTCCTGTTAGTCGCATCTTTCTGCTTAACAGGAAATACATTTTGTCTAGTCTGTCAGTCACATGTTTAACCACAACGGTAACCGGCATCGCGGTCTTTCATGTTACCATGGAGATTTTAAAGCTTACGTTGGCACTCATCTCCGACATAGAAAGGATACGGCTTGCACGTGCATGTACAGTTGGCTCGTTGAACCGTGGCGGCGTTTAGGCATGTTTTGTTGCAATCTGAAAAGAAAAACGACAGTAGTTTCATCCAACACATTCAGGAATTTTTATTTTTATTATGTAATTTAATCATGGCATCTATGACATCCACAGCGGTCGTTGGGTTTGTTGTTTCCTCCGCTGTATCGACAGGATACCGTCAGTAAAATACCATATTTCCTCTAATAAGCGCCGGGCCTCTAATAAGCGCCTGGGGTAAAGCAGCTCACTAACAATTACGGTAATTACGGAAAGAGCGCCGGGTCTGGAAGTCTGTTGAAAGAATATTAGAGAAAATACGATAGTTGGACACTATGTCTGTATACGTTTTGATCGTATTCTACTGGTAGTAACTATTCACAATGTCGAAAGTATTGTTAATGATGGTCCAAGTCATGTAGTATGAAACATTGAGCCATGACCGCAGAAGAAGACCCTACAACGTTTATTTATCGTGTTATATATTTTCACGTAATATATACTAGATAAATGTTCTTGAAAAGGCTTGCTCACTGCACAATCTGTCTTGTAAATGTTCGTCGCCACACTCCATGCCGGAATCATTTTTTTTATATGGAAGATTGAATCCTCCAATATTACCACTGAAAACAAACCAGAATAGTGTTATGTTAAGTGTGTACCACACTCTCGAAATAGGATTCAGTGTTAAATTATGTGTTCACTCTCGAAGTAGGATTCAGTGTTAAATTATGCGTTCACTCTCGAAATAGGATTCAGTGTTAAATTATGCGTTCACTCTCGAAATAGGATTCAGTGTTAAATTATGTGTTCACTATGGTATTAAACTGGATTTAAGTTTAGTTCTAAACTAAACTGACGGGCAACAGAAAACACACATCCGTATTTGTTTGCAGCTGCAATCGAAACAAGATTATGTTTCACATCTTTGACATTAATTTTATGATAATCTGAGGACCAAAATGTATGTTTTCTCACTCATAAATGGTGTACATTATAATATTGTGAAATAATTCTGCTAAGTTCATGCTGGTGGATCTAGAACGATTAAATACGCCTTGTGTTTTGTAAAGAATAATACGATTCAATGCAACATATTTTTAATCGGTATCAGGCAAAGCGTGACGTTTGGTAATATTTACTTTATATTTGAGTACTGGCATTTAGCCAGAGTTCCTGTGATGCCAACACACAAGAAATGGTTATTGGATGGTGATATATTTGACAGGTACTTGGTTTGGACTTTGTGGTTTGGACCTGCAGTCAACATAGTAATGGTTTGAATGTTTGTAGGTTTTTGTCAAATCCAAGCGTACACTATCTTTAACCCTGTAATTGACTCAAGTAAACATGAATCTGCTCAAGGGTGAGTCCTGATTGTTTCCAATACCATGACGAATTAGACCACAACTTTCCTCCAAATAGAAATGTAACTCATCGTAGGCGGTAAGGTAATAGTCAATGTTGAATTCAACTGATTCTCATTGGACACTGATAGAAACCATTCACACACACCCACTTTCATCTTCAGTGTATTCTACCTTTATACATCGGTTTCAGAAAAAATGTCATCATCGCATTATATACCGTAATATATATAGGTAATATTATAATCTTAGGAAGCTGAGTTAAATTTTTGTCATTAATCTTCTTTGGCATTGTGATGTGTATATATCATACAGACCAAGCCTCATTTACAAAAGAAACTACATGTATATACGATTCATGTCTCCATGTACAGTGATAGTAATGTAGGTGACGATTATCACTCTTAATGGTAATGTTGATCTGGTAAAAGGAAATGTTATGGTGCTGAGGTAATACGCAAGATTAAGGTGTTAGTCAAGCGTTCAACTTCAAGAACATTTGATTACTACGAGAAAAACGATAGAATATAGAGATTAAGTTGCATTCTACTTACGCTGGTCCGTAGTTGCACACATAGAATTTGCTCGAGTCACACATGGTATACCCGCATCCTATCTTCTGGGTGTCAGCCCAAACTACCTGGAACATAGTACATGTATTCACTGTAATGATAATTATGTATTGCATATTCTTCATAGTATACTATGATAGTATTCATAGAAGCAAGAGTTTTGATTTACTAGGGGTAAGGTATGACTGGTTCCATTTTCTTGTTGAATTAAATTTGGAAAACAAATTGCAAAGATGATTAACCTTCTTTACAGACATCACATACTTTTCTTCAAGAGCGGAAATCAAATCAAGAAATGGGTGAACACAGTGTATGTTTGTATGCGTCAGCCTTTGTCTCAATATTCAGTTGACTGCAGCATGAACTTCAAGTGATGCATTTTATGCATGGTCACCGTTTGGCTCAATCATGAAATTTGTATTTTAGCAATTTTTGTGCAGAATAATGTACTTTGTAACTCAATTACTTTTTCATCTTAAAGATACTTTAAAATACAAACTGGTCCCTTAGTAAGTAACGCGAAATCAAAGCTACAAAACGCTTGCCACATCCATAAGAAATTACTGCTAAAAGTAAAATCGATAGTACAGTTGTAACAATGTTATGAGTGTGTGTTTATGAATTACTGTCAAATACTGATGACACCAGGTGTTCACAAAAAGGTTTGCATATCCTGTCCCATCGGTGGCACACGTCTTAAATATGCAAATGTTAGGCGAGTGTTCTTCTGTAAGACACGAGATGGAGGGTACAAATCAAAACAGGGAATTGCATGACACATCATTCTTGTCACTGATGTGTCAAAGTTGTCCTCCTGTTGTCTGACATGAAACGTTTTGAAACTTTCACCCAGGCTTTGAAACCTTAATTGGACGCCTTTAATTATATGATGCTTTTGAAATGTTTACTGAGGCTTTGAATGTTGTAATCTTAATTGGACGCCTTTAATTATATGATGCTTTTGAAAGGTTTACTGAGGCTTTGAATGTTGAAACCTTAATCGAACATGCTAGATTTAAAAGAAATGTAAACACCAAAGGCTGGAGTTATTGGTATACATACATACTATATATACCTTTGTAAAAAGTCTGTGGCTTCCTGTACATACTTTATATACCTCTGTAAGTATTGACTGTCATTCACCTGATGAAAGGGCAAGTATTAGCCCAGAAACGTCGTGTATAAATGTTGTACATCCAGATCAAGTGTTTTATATTATTGGTAAAGTGTTCAACATAAAAAGAAAGCTGACTATTGGAAAGATGAAGTCATCCCCTTTGTCATACAGCCTTGAGGAGAGGTCTTTTTCACCCTTTTCCCATGGATCTGGATATGAAACACTGGTCTTTATTTCTTAACTGTTCGGTTAAAACAAAAGAAAACAGCTCGTCAAACCCAACCTATAGTTGTATCTGATTTTGCTATAACCTGGTTTTGACTTCAGCTGCGAACGCAGAAACAGGTAACTTATGACAACGGAGAATTCAATGTTTAAGAATGATGTGCCATGCAATCCCTGCAAAACATGAAACTGCTACTATACATTTATTTAGATATTGCACCTGGGTGTAGTGTCCGATGTTTCCGAAGACGTTCCCTGGGCCTCCATATGTGAAGTCCTTCTCCTCTTCATACCACAGGTCCACTGCACGCTTCCAGGACGTGGGGTTTGTGGCAAGGTTCTGACCCAGGTTCATAGAACCTATAGATGGTAACGGACTTGGGTGAGTATAATAAAGGACAATTATATATGCAGTTCAAGTAACACGAGGACGCCAATGCAGATTTGTGTGGGGTTTGTACTGTTTATGATCACACTGCGTCACATGGTTACATTTCAGTGTCACTCTATAGATAAACCTTCAACTAAAGTTCAGTTTTCCTGTCGGTTTTCCGCTCATACATTGAATGGATACACTAGATTACCATTGCCATGGTCAATCTTGTAAATGAGGTTAATATTAACTTTTGTAAATCATGAGATCAACAGGCTTTCCTCAAAGGAATAACCATTGTCATTTGGCTTATCTCCACGTTTCAGATTATGGAACTCTAGTTGTCAAATAATCTATTCACTCATAAGAGAAAGGCTAATGGTGTATAGTTTCTGTTAAACGCAATCCCTTTCCTCAAATCTCCATCATTGTTGCTGCCTAACATTCGGTTTCACACCAATATATATTCTGTTAACCTTCATGCCCTGGGTTGTTCAGAGAATGAGCCACACTATCATGTCTCTTAAGATAAATCTCTGCCAATGCTGGATATCTACAAGGTGTTGGACAGTCTCACTACATTCATTACGGAATCTACATTTCATTGTTAGTTATATTTGACGTAGCATGTCACATTGATGGTTAAGTAGGAAGTGACTGGTCCTGAGCAGTAAACAGAAAGCCTAATGTTTCTCTTTTCAGTTCTATTAAACCTATTGGACAATATAGTTTACCGGTGCAATATATAAGAGAAGTATGTTTATTCAGGAGCTTACTCGCATGCAATACGGGGGAGATGTCTAATGTATTATCAACTCCTTGAAAAGACTTCAGTTATTTCATATATAAGTGCTACTAGCTACAGGAAATGTATTAGAAGCGTTAGGGCACGCAGCTGTTACTGAAATAGTAACAGTACAAACAAAGCATTAAGGGAAAACATTTCGCACCTGCTTCTTTCTGCACGGCCATTTTTGTTGGTTTGTTTATTACATGACTTACCACATAGAGCACCGGATTACAATGCGCGCTGACAAGTTCAAACAAACACATGCATCACTCTTTGCCATGCTTGGGCAACTAGTATATATTAGTGTACTGTTTTAACACTTTGAGGGGAAGGCTGAAGGTAACACAGTCTAGTGCCGCAAGACCAAATGTCTAAACTACAAGTTTGGCTCTCGGAGTCATAGTCTGTAGTTATAGAAGTAGTAGACACATGCAGACGGAGCCCAAGCAATCTGTCGAGAGTGTTCTGCATTGTACCTGGTATTGACCTCTGTAGGTTTTCGTCGTGATTCAAGGTGCAGACGTCTGCCCAGCGTTGAGCTATCTCTGCAATCTGGTCATCCCAGGACTAGGAGAAAGTCATATTTAGAAACAATTATCAGAAACAACAGGCAATGACATCGTGCGATAAACGCCTTCCTCAGATCAGTATGCCGACCAGACAGCACCATTAAACATTACTTCCTGTCAACACAGGCACAGTCTCAAACACAAACAAATATGGTTATCAGTTACTTAATATCTATTTTCATGTTTGTTTCAACACCAAGCTTTTCTATCAAATTCATGACATCAGCGTGTACTAATATTAAACTGTTGCCAGACTAAACAGAATGTTTTGTGAACAACAAAATACAGACCATATATTTCAAACAATATTAATAGGTTACATGCTGTTTCTATCGATATTTCTGTGCTGTTTATTGTGGTTTTACTTTACAGCTGTGTTGCCAGCGGCCACGTACCAACTTGAGCATGTTTGAAGCGGGGGGTGTGACGTTGTTCCTGTAGCCGTTGTGTAGATCAACTATTTGCATTTTCTCGTCTGCGGATACTCCTGAAATGAAATTGTTCTTTGCAATGTCCCTTTTGCACGTACTGGCTTTCTTGGTTTCGTATGATATCAAACACTGTCTTCCAAATTGAGACGATTATGTAATATAAGTGTATACAGCTTCCTTCGTCTGATGTTGTTTTTTTTGGTGGTTTTTGTTGTTGTTTTTGTTGTTTTTTTCTATCCATAATATCTTTAAATGACTTGTATTATAGCTAACAATTTGGTACTTGATGGTAGCTAACAAAGCTCTTGATGAGGCAAACTACCCGCCGAGTGTCACGTTGCCATGACCTGTACTTCAGAGAGATCGTGGTTTCATGTCGTCATGACCTGAACTTCAGGAACATCTTCCTTTCACGTCGACATGACCTGAGCTTCAGGTACATCTTCCTTTCACGTCGACATGACCTGAGCTTCAGGTACATCTTACTTTCATGTCGACATGACCTGAACTTCAGGTACATCTCGGTTTCACGTCGACATGACCTGAACTTCAAGTACATCTCGGTTTCATGTCGTCATGACCTGAACTTCAAGTATATCCTGGTTTCATGTCGACATGACCTGTACTTCAGGTATATCCTGGTTTCATGTCGACATGACCCGAACTTCAGGTACATCTCGGTTTCATGTCGACATGACCTATACTTCAGGTTCATCTCGGTTTCATGTCGACATGACCTATACTTCAGGTACATCTCGGTTTCATGTCGACATGACCGATACTTCAGGTACATCTCGGTTTCATGTCGTCATGACCTGAACTTCAGGTACATCTCGGTTTCATGTCGTCATGACCTGTACTTAAAGGCATATCCTGGTTTCACGTGGACATGACCTGTACTTCAGGTACATCTTGGTTTCACGTCGACATGACCTGAACTTCAGGTACATCTTGGTTTCACGTCGACATGACCTGAACTTCAGGTACATCTCGGTTTCACGTCGACATGATCTGTACTTCAGGTACATCTCGGTTTCATGTCGTCATGACCTGTACTTCAGGTGCATCTCGGTTTCATGTCGTCATGACCGATACTTCAGGTACATCTCGGTTTCATGTCGTCATGACCTGTACTAAAGGCATATCCTGGTTTCACGTGGACATGACCTGTACTTCAGGTACATCTTGGTTTCACGTCGACATGACCTGAACTTCAGGTACATCTCGGTTTCACGTCGACATGACCTGTACTTAAGGCACAGGTTTCACGTGGACATGACCGGTACTTCATGTACATCTCGGTTTCACGTCGACATGACCTGAACTTCAGGTACATCTCGGTTTCATGTCGTCATGACCTGAACTTCAGGTACATCTCGGTTTCACGTCGACATGACCTGAACTTCAGGTACATCTCGGTTTCATGTCGACATGACCTGTACTTCATGTACATCTCGGTTTCATGCCGACATGACCTGAACTTCAGGTACATCTCGGTCTCATGTCGACATGACCTGTACTTCATGTACATCTCGGTTTCATGTCGTCATGACCTGTACTTAAGGCATATCCTGGTTTCATGTGGACATGACCTGTACTTAAAGCATATCTTGGTTTCATGTCGACATGACCTGTACTTAAGGCATATCTATACGTAATGGCCTATGTGACGAAAGCAGAGGATATTACCCTTTTTGAGTACCTATAAATTAATGGAGATTTAGGATTCAAACCTATGGTTAGCATCTCCTGTGTGTGTGTGTGTGTACGTGTGTGTATTTGTGTGCCTGTGTGTGTATGTGAGTGAGTGAGTTTTACGCAGCTCTTTGCAGTATTCCAGCAATATCACAGCGGGGGACACCAGAAATGGGCTTCACATATTTCACCCATGAGGGTAATCGAACCCGGGTCTTCGGAGTGACGAGCCAACGCTTTAACCATTAGGCTACCCCACCGCCCTGTGTTAGTATGTGTGTGGCTGTGTGTGTATGTATGTGTGCCTGTGTGTGTTGCTGTGTGTGCCTGTGTGTGCGTGTATTTGTGAGTATGTGTACCCTATAATACCTCAGTCAAAACTATGATTGCGAACTAATAATTTATAATAATGGCAGGCTGTCAACCATGCAAGTCACCGAGCGTGACCGCAACATCCATCGCGTCGCCTCTTACGGCTAGCATACGTAACTTGGGACCATTCAAAATACTTATTACCGTACATGTATATTACACATAGGAAACAAGAAATCAAATATTCTGTGTTGATCCCTATTATAAGATCAATGTACCTACCTGAATGAGATGCCTTGCTTGACTTCGTTCTGCAAGCCGAGTGGTTTGGTATTTGTTTGAACTTATCCTTGCAGGTGACCTATGACGAATAATCGAAATATATTACATATTTAACGACACCTGCATGAAAACTATTACCTAGGGTTTGCAAACATTTCCTTCGTCATACAAGCGTCAATGTATGGTAAATGTTTATTCGTATATAAAGTACAGTTCAGTTAAATCTACTGACCTCAAAAGCTGACGGTATTCAACACAGATGCATCTACCGTGTCTACAGATTGTTACAAGATACATTAACGCCCTGACAATTGTTACCCAAAATAGTATCATCAAGAATATCTAATTTAGTTCAAATAGCTATTCGAATATAATTTCAATAACTAAAGTTCTTCGATTTTCAGGCTCCTACAACGGAATTGCTAACAACATATTGTGTATTGTGCATTGCCTATGATAGAAGCTTATACAAGCAGGGGCGCTTTTACCACATAACTGGAAACTAGGTCTGAAGGGTGGTATTCAAATTAAACAATTTACAGGTATTATAAGTGCCTCACACTGCCTCCGTGGTGTAGTGGTTATAGCCCGTCCGCCCGGAGAGCGGAAGGTCGCGGGTTCGAACCCCGGCCGCGTCATACCAAAAGACGTTAAAATATGGTACTTGTTATTCCGTGCCTGGCGCTTGGCATTAATGGGTACAACAAGGACTGGTCGGCTCGGAGTCAATATAATGTGTCTGAGTGGGGTATTCGTGCTTAACTGCGGCATGGTATCTCAGTGGGCTAGCACTATAAAACCAGCTGGGCTAGTACAAGCAGCCGCACATACATACGCATGCACGTCGTCATATGTGCGAAATATTCTGAAGTGCGACGTTAAACCCCATTTCACCTAACCTCACCTATAAGTGCCTCAGCGACTGAACATCCGACGTTCACGAGAACATGTCAGGAAAGTATTTGGCAATGACAATCTAGGAAACATCATCTACGGCAGAATTATCATTCAAATGGTGGCCCGCTACCTGAGAGAAATAAAGCGTTCTGGGTCGCATGCACATGTTCTAACATCACAGAACGTGATGGAGTGGCGCCAAATGTACTCTCTTAGTCGTTATTCCTTGAGATTCCTGTCTGAGATGTATTGCCCCACTTGAACAAAAGCAATGTTTATCAACTGAAGTCATTTTCGAGTCCGATACCGTATGGATTTGCAAAATGGAAAATTTGCAAAGTTTTCACAGGTGATGCGGCCATCGGCAAAGTTGTGTCCTAACGGCACTGCTGGTCCGCCAATCAGAATACAAGCTTCAAAAGAACGCTATGGTAGGATAACCTGTACTCTTCGTTGTAGTATATGTATTGGGTATTGAATTGTCAAATGTTTAATCCCTACTCACACTTCTCTTGCTTCTGTGACCATGGATGTAGCCGACATCTGTATCCGGACGAACACCTCCCAACAAAGCTGATAGAAAATACAGAAGATTGCATCCTTGCACATTTAAGGTCAATATTTTCACATGATGAAAGAGAGAGAATTGTTTATCTACAGATAAAAAGGCATTTAACAGGGTGTCAATAAGAGGTACAAGTACACATGCACGCACGCACGCACGCACGCACACACGCATAGACAGACAGCCATCACTATCAGTGTCTGATGTTTGCGTGGAAGGTGAGCGTCGGGCGGCACTTGTCATAAACCCATACACAGGTTAGTCAATTGGTCACCTGCAAAAATACACGTGAACGTATAATACAGTCAAAACAGGGAATTGCATTGGACATTAATTTGTTTCACCGATGCGTCAGATTTGGACACGTCCTCAACAAACCAGTGTAAACTATTTGTGAATGCTTTACTGGGTCTTGGAATGCTGTAACTTTGATCGGACAACTTCTCAGTAACAGTCGTATGACGCTCTTGGAAATGTTGATGAAAAGAGCATGCTCGATTTGAACGTCAAACGTTGTGAAATGTAAACAAGGCTGGAGCTGTCGGAATAGTGCTCGTCATAAAATACAGGTTGACTATTTGAAAGATGAAGTCATCCTTCTTGTCTGTCTTGTGGAGAGTTTTTTATAACGAGACAGATCCGCAAGGAGGGGAGCACTAATGCTGGCCATAGGAATGCATAACTCTAAATGTTTTTGCCCTATATTATTAGATGTTATCAATGCAGAAGTCCAGCATTTCACATTCTGTTTTCTCATTAAAATTCAGATGACACTGGCTTTCATTCTCTACTTAATCCTGAACAAAAGACAGATGTGTAACTATATCTGTGCTCGCAGGTGTATTTACAAATGCCCCATATATCAAGATGGAATTTTTCTTTTGACAATACACTTGGGAAAACATTCAAAGTTGAAGGAAGAGTTAACCTTAACGCATCAAATTACACACCACTAGTACTATATATACATAAATACGTACACACAATTTCGCATTTACTTGCAATAATAATAATAAATAATAGCAATAAAGCCATTTCCTCGTCCATAAGAAATCTCTGGTGAAAGTAGATTCGATTGTACAATTGTGACCATATCATGAGCATGTGTTGAGGAATCATGCAGGTACTGATGATGGCAGGTGTACCACGATACTGGTGCTACACTTTTACATGAATGAGCATTAGAACCCTGGATATATATGTACGCCTTTGAGAAACTGATAATACATTTATATTGTCATATATGATATGAAACATAACTGTACAGGATTTATAAATATATCATTTACAAGCAATGTACAGAGAAGTGTCTTCAGTCTCAGATTACAATGGTCATTACCACAGGGCTTTGTTCACCTAAACAATCACACCATTGTTCTATTATTCAAACAACTTTTTAATACTTACCGCAAACACTCCGAAACAAGAGTGAGAAATAAGTTGGTAATCTGCAACTAACTTCCAAATAATCTAAGCTTTAATACATTAAAACTTATTATTTTGTTGAAAAAGAACATGATATATCCAAACTCTCGGCATGGCCATACACATAATATTATAGTCCTGGAATACATTCATCAAACTCCATTCAGTTACAGGTAATAGACATTAGCAAACATTTCCTACCCGTTAATGTTATTGCAACAATCAGATATCGTAGTGTTGTCATCGTCGCGATGGTCCTCGGCACTGCGTCGCACCAACAACACCGAATACTCCCGTGTCTCCAGAGAAGGTGTCTCTTTATAGCGTTGTCCAATCTGTGCTAAACTTTACTGACATCTAACGAGTTTCGTTGGCTGGAACATTATCATGTGATTTTGGTTACCCCGCGATGTTTATCTGGCAACAATACACACATCCAAACAAAACCTCTATCCCACATCACCTTGTAATAACAATTGCGAGTTCTCTATCGACCACTCCAGCTTTTTACTACTCACCTTAATACTCCATTGACTTCCACCGTGAATGTAGTCTGTTATAACTATTTATGGAGCATACTCTATAATCAAAGAAGTTAAAAGCAGGTTCCTTGGTGACGATACATTTTTAAACTAGTGGCAGGGTAATGAGAATGTCAAAGTGAGTATTTTGATAATATTACTGAGCTAAATGATTAGCTGTGGAAACTAAGGTTTCTGGTGTACCCTGACGATAGATATCCCCATAGATGAAAAACATGGATGATAGATTAACAGCTCCAGGTTAATATTAACAGTGGTGATTAATATCCATTGACACACCCTTCAATGCACAGGGCCTGTGCTTCTCAGTGATAAGCTAGAACCTATACACGCAGGCAACCTGAACTCAAGATAAACTACATGGAGAAATATTCCGTCACTAGGGGAACATTACTGTCACCAAATATACTATTACTAGAAGTTACTCTGCATCCAGCAAAATAGTCATGGTGGAGGTGACTTTACATTAACCAAAGTACAGATACTAAACTTGACAACGCGGATCCTAAACCTTACTTTACATTCGAAAAAGCACACATCCTAAACCAACTTTACATTCACCAAAACACGGATCCTGAGGCAAAATACCTATGTTATACATAACTTAACATCTACTAAAATACTGACGCAAGACGTAACTTAACATATACCGAAATACTGCTTCAAGACGTAACTTTACATCCACCAAAATAGTGGCACAAGACGTAACTTTACATCCACCAAAATAGTGATACAAGACGTAACTTTACATCCACCAAAATAGTGATACTAAATGTAGCATTACATCCACCAAAATACTGACGCAAGACGTAACTTAACATATACCAAAATACTGCTTCAAGACGTAACTTTACATCCACCAAAATAGTGGCACAAGACATAACTTTACATCCACCAAAATAGTGATACAAGACGTAACTTTACATCCACCAAAATAGTGATACTAGATGTAACTTTACATCCACCAAAATAGTGATACAAGACGTAACTTTACATCCACCAAAATAGTGATACAAAATAGTGATACAAGACGTAACTTTACATCCACCAAAATAGTGATACTAGATACATCTTTACACACCAAAATAGACGTAACTTTACATCCACCAAAATAATGATACAAGACGTAACTTTACATCCACCAATAATGATACAAGACGTAACTACATCCACCAAAAATAGTGATACTAGATGTAACTTTACATCCACCAAAATAGTGATACTAGACATCCACCAAAATAGTGATACAAGACGTAACGTAACTTTACATCCACCAAAATAGTGATACAAGACGTAACTTTACATCCACCAAAATAGTGATACAAAATAGACGTAACTTTACATCCACCAAAATAGTGATACTAGAGATCCACCAAAATAGTGATACAAGTAACTTTACATCCACAACCAAAATAGTGATACTAGATGTAACTTTACATCCAACAAAATAGTGATACAAGATAATACAAGACGTAACTTTACATCCACCAAAATAGTGATACAAGTGTAACTTTACATCCACCAAAATAGTGATACTAGATGTAACTTTACATCCACCAAAATAGTGATACAAGACGTAACTTTACATCCACCAAAATAGTGATACTAGACGTAACTTTACATCCACCAAAATAGTGATACTAGACGTAACTTTACATCCACCAAAATAGTGATACAAGACGTAACTTTACATCCACCAAAATAGTGATACTAGATGTAACTTTACATCCACCAAAATAGTGATACAAGACGTAACTTTTACATCCACATCCACCAAAATAGTGATACAAGACGTAACTTTACATCCACCAAAATAGTGATACAAGACGTAACTTTACATCCACCAAAATAGTGATACAAGACGTAACTTTACATCCACCAAAATAGTGATACAAGACGTAACTTTACATCCACCAAAATAGTGATACTAGACGTAACTTTACATCCACCAAAATAGTGATACTAGACGTAACTTTACATCCACCAAAATAGTGATACTAGATGTAACTTTACATCCACCAAAATAGTGATACAAGACGTAACTTTACATCCACCAAAATAGTGATACAAGACGTAACTTTACATCCACCAAAATAGTGATACTAGATGTAACTTTACATCCACCAAAATAGTGATACTAGATGTAACTTTACATCCACCAAAATAGTGATACAAGACGTAAAATCCACCAAAATAGTGATACTAGACGTAACTTTACATCCACCAAAATAGTGATACAAGACGTAACTTTACATCCACCAAAATAGTGATGTAACTTTACATCCACCAAAATAGTGACGTAGACTTTACATCCACCAAAATAGTGATACAAGACGTAACTTTACATCCACCAAAATAGTGATACTAGATGTAACTTACATCCACATCCACCTTTACATCCACCAAAATAGTGATACTAGACGTAACTTTACATCCACCAAAATAGTGATGTAACTTTACATCCACCAAAATAGTGATACTAGATGTAACTTTACATCCACCAAAATAGTGATACAAGACGTAACTTTACATCCACCAAAAAATACTAGAGTGATACTGAGATGTAACATCCACCAAAAATAGTGATACAAGACGTAACTTTACATCCACCAAAATAGTGTAGATGTAACTTACATCCACCAAAATAGTGATACTAGATGTAACTTTACATCCACCAAAAATACAAGTGATACATCCACCAAAATGTGAACTAGATGTAACTTTACATCCACCAAAATAGTGATACAAGACGTAACTTTACATCCACCAAAATAGTGATACTAGACGTAACTTTACATCCACCAAAATAGTGATACTAGATGTAACTTTACATCCACCAAAATAGTGATACAAGACGTAACTTTACATCCACCAAAATAGTGATACTAGACGTAACTTTACATCCACCAAAATAGTGATACAAGACGTAACTTTACATCCACCAAAATAATGATACTAGATGTAACTTTACATCCACCAAAATAGTGATACTATGCGTAACATTACACCCACGAAAATAGTGATACAAGACGTAACTTTACATCCGCTAAAATACTGAATATAAGATTACATCTTTGTGAAGACAGCCTTCTTAGGTGTAACTTTGTATACCCACAACGGGACAAGTTTACATTCCCCTGAAGTCTGCATTTCTAACTGTAAAATTAGGTCCTTCCTTTTCAGACAGACAGACAGAAATATTTATTCAGTAATGTGGGCTTAACGGCCTATAATACAATTGAAAGATACAATATTTTTCAATGCCACGTGATAATTTCAAGTATTAAGTTTAAACAGATGTTTCAAAAACAGAGCGACTGATTTAATAACATTAGAATCTATAGAGTGCAATACTCTTATCATGCTTTGTGTACATTGAGACATGGCATTCAGCAAGTACTTTTGCCGAATTTCATTATATTTTGTACACAATATTTTGTGCATAAAAACATAGTATTCATCTTCAATCGCTCCAAAATTACAATTTATACAGATACAACTAGTTACACATTGTCTATATTTCACCACTATATTTTCACCATGTGACGAGGCCTTCGTATAGGTAACCTTACACCGCCATAGCTATAGTAACAGTAAAGGCTACAAGTAAAGTAACACGATATTGGTTTATATTATTCCTGATATAATAATAATGATCTCAGATAGAATATATTCCTACCACTGCCTCAAAATGCCATGGAATTATGTTCATGGGTACTTCTTAGTAAGAGAAACCGCGTGCACAATTGATTCTATTTCCGGCTTAGTTTACGAGACAATATACACGGTATTCTTAATCCCAGCACATAAAACAACAAAGAGCATAACTGAAAAGATAATTTAAAAGTTAATTCATTGTGTATAGTGAGGTTTATTCGCAAGTCTATTTTTGCATTAACCAAATTTGTTGGCAACTTTCGTTCATTTAAATTCTCTGGAGGGATAGATTTTCACTTCCCAAAATACTCTTACGTAAAATGTGGTTAAGGTGGGTGAATGACGAATTTCGGATACACGGACACTCGTTGATCCGTACAATCCTAGAAAGATGTCCGGATAAGCGAGGTTCGACTTTAATAGTTATTATTTATTTAATAGTTAGGAGTTATTTAACGCCCTTACGAAGACAGGAAAGTTTTCTTTACCTGCAGATAGAGAAGAGAAGTGCATTTCGTGCATTTTTCTAACCGCTATATACACCGTGTTCTGTCAAGGCATTATCAAGGCTATCTCTATATACATTTGTTCTGTCGTCGAAAATATCGAGGCAATTTATAACGTATTCAAATTTGATTAATTGACTGCCATCCCCATATGACAATGACAATTTCTTGTTGATATTTAATCTGCAGAGACAGGAATGTGTTTGCTGATGATCACTTATTCAGATATATAGGCTTTAGCCGGAACATATCGCAGACAGACATATGTACATTAACAGCAGGACGAGCCCCTATGTGCAGAATATGTTGTCTGGAAGATCGAAACCTGCTGTTATTACGTATCTGATTTACCTGATGTGTCTTTCAAAGGATGACTCATGTTTGCAAAGATCAGAAAGGCCACAATGCTATCAATGGTATCTAAGGAATATATTTGAAATGTCCTCGATAGAACCGTTTGTTTATTTGTTACAAACGTATATTAAATTGTAGAAACCACATTACGGTAAAGTCCAAACAGACAAAGCCAGACAAGACTAACTGGTTGCCGTTAAGGCGGATAGCTTTATAAGGGGATGATATATGTTTATTTGATTAGTGATCGCGTGGAAGACCTGTACAAGCAAATGTTTGAAGTTGACGTCTGCCATTCCTCTGTGTGTCATGTCC